ATCAAAAGACAAAAGGAAGAAGATTTTGGATCTGGAGGATATTTTTTTTTTTGCACTGGAACCACAAAGTTAATGAAGCAGCTATCACAGTAGAGTTCAAAGGCAGAGAGAGCTGCAAGATGCTTACAGTCTCTAGAGGAATGGCATTTTTAATGGAAACCTTTGATTTCAGCTGGAAATAGTGTGTTGAATGAGTGGTTCACTGATGATTAAAGTAATGCATTACCCTTTTTACCGCCCTTACCAGTAAGCTACATGGTACCATTTTCTGGCATGATTCTGCGACGAGTCATACACTTAACGTTAACAAATCCACTACATGTTGCATTAATCTAGTTAGTCCTGCCTTCTCCCTCTGTTGCATAATTCCTAGTTGCTAAAGCTATTTTTTTATATTCCTACAAATACTGTGGGTGCTCAGAGTGCTTTTACAGCAGCGGGCATCTGACAGGTATTGGTGACTAATCAACTAAGGGCTAAAATACTGAAACAATAAAAAGAACTTTTTGAATATATAGTACTTAAGCAAAGAGAATTTTGGAAAATATTTTTCCCCTGTGCTTAAAAGGTCTGACTCTGAGGTGATGCTGTCAGAAACTCAAAACAGGACTATGTACCGATGGGACTGGAACGCATGGTCTTTGACCCTCTGGACGACGGTCATCGCATTAAGCTTCTTCTCTCCATTGTGGCTCATACTTGTCGCCTTTCCGTCTGATTCCTACTGATGTTTTCCCCCCCCTATCTTGAGGAGTCTCTTCGGCACAGCACAGCTGCTCCTCTAGCAGGAGACTGCAGGCACACAGCTCTTGGCTGGCCAAAAAATAGAAAGGGAAGCTGTGAGCCTGTTTCTGCAAGTCTTGGGAGAACTGGCAAAGGATCAAGAATGCTTTCATCTGAACTGCAGAAGAAATGCCATTGGAATTGCTGGTAGCAGTCGTCAAACTGATTGTCTCACTAGACCCACCCCCCCCAAAAAAAAAGAATTAGGAAGTGCAGCGTGCTCTGAGAGAGGCTAGCAGGCCTGCCAGACTAAAACAACAATGCACTTACGTGGCGTGAGGACTTCTGGGTTCAGGAAGCTTATCTGCCTTGGGACTTGTTACAGGCACTATCTCAGGATCACATATGTGTATAGTTTATAACATATTTAACTTTAAAAGCTTGGCTGCAATCTTTATTTTAAGGTGGCGCACAGCCACTTGAATTGTGGAAGCATGCAGTACTGCTGAGTGACCCACACTGGATTTGATCTTGCAGGCTTTGCTCGTGCAGGTAAGTCCCACTAGCCATAAGAGGTCTGATCCTGTCAGCAAGGACAGACCGCCCAGGACCCTTACGCAAGATTTCCTCTTTGAGAGTGCCAAGTCACTGGCCTCCCTTCACGTGCCTGTTACTACCACATTGTATTACTGTAATCTGACATCCCAAAAATGCTGATTTACCAAACAGAGGTCGTAGAAATGTCATTGCAGAAACCACTGGCATTTCAAAGCTCCTACTTACTGTCCTCCATGCACCCATTCTGCTTCAGCCATTTGGGCACTCTGGGAGGCTGAGACGCGGCCGAGTCGCACGTCCTGCTGGGAGAGGCAGCCTAGCTAATAGAAACACCATTTTTCTCCTACCTCAAGAGAGCTGAAGTGCTTGCAAGTCTCGCTGCTTCTTTAGAGCAAATACAAAGCTGGGGATCTGTGGTGACCAGGCTCTTTACTAGCTTACCCTGTGAGAACAACGAGGTTCACCAGCGCCTTTATCGACTCTGGGGCAAACTGGGCACCCAAGCCTGCGGGCATAAAGTGTCCTGGACTACGGCTGCTTGGAAAAACGGGGTTTGTATTGCAGATAGCTGACCTACTGCTTCTTCCTACGCTGCTCCCCCCGCCCCAAGCTCTAAAATGAAAGTTAATGTTCGTACAAGTTTTGAAAATAATTCAGACTTTTCTGTATAAATCTTGTCTGTCTGCTGTGAAATTTAGTTTGTTAAAACCCGGTTGTTTTGTCCTAAAACGGATTTAGGAGAGCTCTGAGCAACTGTGCCCTGGGTGTGGTATTGCTACAGGGGAAGTGGGTTTGGGGAGAGGCGGTGGAGATCTGCGCCTCGAGAGAGGTAAGCAAGGAAGGGCCACAGTTACAGAGATGGTTGCCTTTCTGCTCAAAGGATTGCCTTTCTTTTGAGGTGTACACATAATGCACATCGCTGAAAGATTTTGGTGTATGCTGCAGTACCGAAAGAGTCAGAAGACCAGCTAGGACCTGTGTTACAGCAGGGGACAGCAAACATCCGCAAAGGGCAGGTAAAATTATGCTAAGCTACTGCAGATCCCAAATTGCAGAGTGATGGCACGGCAGCCTCCGATGCAGATTGCAGTAGCGCACAAATCAGCTCACGTTTGCCTGGAGTGTTTCTGTTCATGCTGTCAGGAAATCTTCTGAAGTGGAAAAACACCGAGTTATCGGAGACAACTGACTCGCTTGTTGCTACAGTTTATTGTAAAAATATTTAAACTTTGACAAACCTGGCTAATGGATCATTCAGAAGTTTAGAAAAGAAAGAGCTCCTTTGGTACTTTTTCCCCCCTAAAATGACATAAACATAGGCCTTGGTGGGCACAGTCCTTGGATGAGGATGGCCCCTTTTCAGCTTCCGCGCATCCCCTGCTTGCCCCCACTGCTCTCTTGCCTTGATCAAATGCTGCTCACTGGTTCCTAACTTCCTACTTTTTAACTAAAAGCTGTTTGGGGGTTTATATTCAGATTTTTCATTTAAGGTCCATTTTTACCCGCTGCTCCAGGGTCCTTGATATGCGTTCTTGTGTAAGCACAGCACACAAAACGGGAGCATTTAAAAAAATAGGAAAAAAAAAAAGTTTTAAAAGCAGAGCAGTCCACCTCCAAGGCTTTTATTTTTTTTTTTTGTTTTAGTCAAATTCTACAACACTCCAAAGAGGGGTAGGATGGTGGGAGGATGGCAAAGGCCAAATCTGTTGTGGCCACCCTGTCATTAAGGATTTTGGTGTAACAGAGCTGCAGCAGCCCTTGCTGTAGCACGTGACTGACGTACCTATGGGTGCCACACTGCCAGCCACCACAGCCCAGGGCTAGCACCCGTCGAGCCTACTGGTGGGTGAGGAGGGGTGTTACAGAGCAAAAAGGAGTCCCTGTTTAATTAAGTCTGTTCTTAACTACTGATATCTTGGCCAAAGAGGAAAGAAAACCCATGAAAGCACCTGAAAACTGAGTCGTGTCTGAAAATGTAGCCCAGGCAAGAGCCCTTGGTTAGCCTTGGCTCCAGGGTCAGCCAGGCACGCTCCTGGTAGTGTCGTCTTTTTGCTATGGGTCTGTTGTGTTGTTATTTGTATGTGTTCCTTTAAAAAGTACCATGAGAGCTCATGCAGAGGGAGGCTCTGCACCTAAATGAGCATGGGGCGGCCAGTAGTCCCTTAGGAAACTCTCATCTCCTTCGGGAACGGGCATTGCCCAGCTCAGGACTTGTAGTGCCTTCTCCAGCACCGCTGGGATTTCTCGTTTGAAATGGAGAGGAGCGCTAAAGGAGCAGAACAGTTTTTACTTAACTGGAAATGTTGCTCTGTGGAGTTGCCAGATGAAGCTCGGTTGCAGGACGATGTGGAAAACCGACAAACTAAATGGTTTCGGTCCTGTGGTTACTGTTAGGGCGATCACCTGGATTCCCCCCACTGCTGGCCTGGCCGGTGAGCGAGCCGGCACGCCAGCGCCCAGGCACGGGAGGGAGGAGGTCAGAGACGAGATGGATCCCTCTTACTGAAATTGTCTGTGGCCACTGAATACAAAAATAGCCTGCATCAAACACCTGCTTGAAATACATCCTAAAGAATCATAATCAGATCCATCTGATCTGAACTTTGTTCCTGGAGCGAGCAGGATTTCAGTACTTACTGGGAGCTACACGCGTTCCCAAGGTCTTCACTCAGTTTGGGTTTAAGATGGCCTTGTTCTGCAGCCTCTCCATGAGCACGCGTTGGGGCACGGCGCAGCAGGATCCCAGACTTGTTTGCTTTTGGGACTAAACTCTATTTTCCATTTCTAATTCCTTTATTACAGGAGGCAGCGTTAGATTCCTTACTGGCAGATAGGAACACTTTACCTGAGAAATATCAACAGCCGTTTAACTCGAGCCAGGTGTTTTTCAACAAGCTCGCTTTTGCCAATCATAGCGCCCGCTCTCTTCCGTGTCACTAATTACATCGTAGATGTAGATTTTGGAGTTGCGTTCGCTTGAAGTGACTCAGTGGTTTAGTACTTCAAAGACCATCAGATGCTGTGATGAGAATGAAGCACAGGGCAATGCCTTTCCTTTGTCCCCCTGTTCCGCAGAACTTGCTCAGGTTTAAAAAAAAAAAAAAAGAAAGCCACCAAAATAGCAGACTTTTGCCATGTCAAAGCCAGGATATTTTTTGTTCAAAGAAAATGAAGCATTTTGTTCATGCAAATGAAGCATTATATGTTTTTTTGTATTTGTAAATCTGTGGGGAAGCATTAAACAGTCATCTCTGTCGCGAAGGAGTAAGTCATCGATAGAGGGAAGGGGCTCACCTTCCTGATGTTTCATTGTAATGTTTGTTGTATATATTTGCACATTAAACTGTGTATCTTTTTTCTAATAAATTAATATAAAATGTAGCTGTGATCCTTAATTATTTTGGTAAGCGAAGGTGCTCGCGGGGCAAACTTCCGCATTTCTCATTTAGTGCTTTTTCCATGTTTTAAATCTCTTATTAGGCTGTGACTTGTTCGTATGAATTATTTGGATGCAAATTCCAACAAATTTGCAAACAAATTTCATACACCTGTGTATCAGGAAGATTGTTGGCAGGTGATTTGAGAAACAACAAATGATGAAGTTGCGACCTGGGCTTGCGTCTGCGGCCCCCGGGGGCCTGGGGCAGCGGCAGCCCCCCCAGCTCCTGCCGTAGCCCGGGGGCAGGAAGAGGCCGCGCTTACTGACCGAAGACGTAGACCACAAGCCCAGATGTGTTCAGCATACGCTCTGGGCTTGGATACAAAGAATAGTTGTTATTTAACCTGATCCTTTAATCGCTCTGTGCTGAGGAGCATAGTTGCTGTTAATGTGATTTCCACGTGCAGCAAGCTGGGGACGTGGGTTCCTTTCAACGCGCATGTCTCAGGATTTTGAAGATGAAACCAGGCAGTCCATGGGCGCAGAGCTGAGCAAGCCTAGCTGCTAGCAAGCAAGGTAGTTTGGGAAATAGTTTATTTATTTATTGCTTCAGGCAAGTGTCACTTTTGGATCTGCGTGCTCTGTAATCCTGGCTGGATACCCGCTGTGGTGAATCGAGGGACTTGTAGTGCTTAGAGAGCCATTGAGGGAAACTTGGCCGCGCCACTCAAGAAGCACAGACGTGTAATTTAGATAAGCCTACGCCTGGGGGCTTGATACAGGGGAACTGCGTGACATTTTGCATTCGGTCTTATAGGGAGGGCAGGTCGGATAAATAAAAGGTCAGATAAAGTCTGACTGACGGTTCACGGACTGCTTCTACGTCCTCTCTCCAGCGGAGATGGGAACGGCCCTTTTGGCAAATGACCTCCCTCTCCTTCGCCAGCAAGCCATGCCGAAGCCACGCTGGCCCAGCACGTCCCCTCCGGGGGTGCTTCCCAGTGCAGCAGAGGTGGTTGTCACGGAGGGTCCCGGCCCCCAGAGCATCCTCGCAGGCGGGGACGCCCG